TTTTTAAATTGACTGATTTGTTAAAATTACACTTAATGAAGTTTTTATATAATAAAAGTTACAATTACATAATAATATTTCTACTTCAATTCGTTTTTTTAATAAACATTTAAATGGTGGCTATCATAAAAAATACAAATTCAACTTTGAAGAACAGTAAAAGTTATAATGAATATACTATATAGTGCATATATTTAGCAAAATGCTCCTCTCTACAGTTTATTTTTCTATCTGACTAATGAGTTTATGGTAACCGAATATGTTTTTCTGAGGTAAATGTGAAGTTACGTGACATTGTTTACAAGCCGTTATATTGACGTCTTTGCGCGGCTGAAACACTGATTGAGCAATTACATGAGACAGGATACGGATTGTAAAGTTATACTATTTCTTTTAACATACCTTCGGTATATATATATATATATATATATATATATATAAAAAAAACAATTACGAGGAGGTCAAAAAAAGTTGCACATTCTAGCCCCCAAATAGAACATTGTAAATTCATAATCTGTGTATTAGAATGCAGGTGGAATGAATCAGTACTCACAGTTTGATTATATGTGGGTGACGGAAGAGTTTGAGGTTCTGGATCTCGCGTCGAATCTTACCCACAACATCCAGACTGCGGATCTTCTGCCGGTTCAGAATCTTTACCGCCACCTGGTGCTTGGTCAACTCATGCTGGCCCACTGCATAGACAGGTAGAAGAAACACGTTTGTGAAGGCTTACATTTATGCAGGTCATTGGAGAATATACAATAAAATGTCCAATGTCTTTATGAGAAAGATCCACAAGTGCCAGTGGGTGACAGGTCTGTTCTGAAAGGGCAATGGACAGTAGTGGAAAAATTGCTAAACACAAATAATAAAATGCAAGCAAGCATTTAACCATGCATACTTATGATAGCAAAATAAACAGGCTTTTGAAAAGGAACAAAAAGCGTTCTCTCAATCTTTTGTTGTTGATGGCAATGACTACTTGTACAAACGGTACAAATCCATGTCACTTGGTAATTTGGCTAAAACTAATACTTTATTTCACCTAGTGTTTGTTCCGTACTGATAAATCACTCATTTGCTGTTGTAGGCATTGACAAAATTGTCAATTTTACTATTAAGCCCAATCAGTTTCCAAAATGTTAGGCCAATGCTGTTTATGATAATAATGATAACTACTACAATATATTACCGTTTGATATTGTCAATATTGGTTTTACATTTTTGTTTACTTTTGTACCATAAACACTGCTACTGTAAAAGTTGTGTCCTGAAGTAACTCTTAAGATACACTGAGCTAAATGATGCTCAAAGAGCTGAAAATCAACACCTTTGAAGCTTGTAGTTAATGTGTGAGGTTCACCGCACATTTATTCAATTTTTCCAGAAACTATTTTTATATGGGCAAAGGCTTTGCCAACAAGTTTCTTATAAGGCTGGATATTGCTGCATCAGTAAGTGCTGAAGGCCGTACATTGAACCATTCCTAGAAGCTGTGTATGGTCTCAGTTAATTTGCAACATTTAAAAAGTTTACCAGCATTAACTAGGCTGCTCTAGTTATGCATTAACACAAACTCAGTCATGCAGAGGGAATTGTGTGTGTGTGTGTGTGTGTGTGTGTGTGTGTCCACAGACCTCACTTATGTCTTAGTACTAAAACATCACTATCAACCTGGTTCATAAAGGCTACTTGTTAGATTGGTGATTAGTAGTTTCAATGTTCTGTCAGTCATATAACAACTTCTCTTTTACCAGAAATTCTTATACACAACACACTTCTGCTTGGAATCTTTGGCATTTCATTATTGCGTCAGATTTAGTGTGGGCAACAAAAATAAAAATAAAAAAATAAAAAAAATAAAAAATAAAAAGAAAGCGAATGAGAAAGACTGGACTTTTTGAAATGTCATCAACTGTTGGCTGCTACTTGGCAAACATACAGTTATAAGTAGGGCTGTGACTAATGACTATTTTGATTAGCCTAATCAATTAATCTGTCTTCAATTAATTTTATCTGCTTAAAAGTAAATTTTTAATTTTCAGTTTTTTTATTTTTAACATCCTGCCCAATGTTGTCGTTCAAACAGTGTGCAAACTGAAGAATGTATCTATGTAGGCCATGCTATACATTATATGCAATAAAAGGTTTAATATAAACATTACATTCTAAAACTTGACCACAAATAATAAAGAGAAACAGAAGCACAGACTAAACACACACATTCACTTATCTGGATAAAGTAATTATATTACATTTATACTTTATTACAACTAGAGCCCGACCGATATATCGTTTTGCCGATTTTATCGGCCGATATGAGCCGGTCACCGATATATCTGTATTGGCGAATATGCCGTTGATATGATTTTTTTTTTTCAGAGCATAATGCAGATAAAATACTTGAAATTGTGTAATTACTTAGTTTGTCCAGCAGAGCGCGCTCCATTGTTTGCTACTGGCGACCTGGATGAAACGCTTTAAAGCTTAAGTCTATGGAAAACCATTGAAACTTTGAACGGTGATATCTCCGTAACGGCGTGGCGGATCCGCACCAAATTCGGGGGATCCCTTCAGCTCCTCAGGTTGCTCGAGCTGAAGGGATCCCCCGAATTTGGTGGAGATCCGCCGCCGTGTTCGTGAGATACGTGTGACACCAGCCAACAGTCTCTTGTTCAGGCAGCAGCATTCAAGCGTTGTCTTATTCGTCCGTAAGTGCCCTGCGAAGTTGACTTCACGTGATATTCTGCCATGATTCCAGTTCCAAGGGAACGTACACGTTACATTCAAAGGGCATTAAAGTGTGCGGGACGTGAATTTAAATAGTATTTATTTACAGAGGTAGGCTATATTATGTCACACTTCCCACTTCTCTAGTAAGTTTCGTCTGTGTGTGAAGACAGTAGAGCAAATCCGTGAAGGAATGTTCCGAAGTGAAATAAACTTCAACGGAATAAAGTTGAATGGAATTTAACTGAAATAACTGTTCAGTGCACTGATATCAGACTCATTTTGGTAATAGTTTATTGTTAAATGCCCTGCCTCCATTACATATCTCTGTCACATCATTATGAGTGTTTGATGACCACATTTGAGTGATCATTGCAAAAAATGTGTTTATGTATATATATTCTGTTTATGTATATACTGTATTCTATATATAGTACCAGTCAAATGTTTGCACACACGAATGGGAAAGTGTCCAAACTTTTAACTGGTACTGTATTATAATATACACAAAGAATATCGGCCGATATATCGATATCAGCCTTTTTTTACTCCGTAATATCGGTCCCAAAAAAAATCCATATCGGTCGGGCTCTAATTACAACCATCCCTTTACATTTACTGCTCTAATAAAAATATAACTAGGGTAGACTGAGTACATTTGGGACATGTGTACAGTTGAAACACCTTAAATAACTTGCGTGCACAGGAAACCCGAGCAGTGATTTTTGCTCCACACATGCTTATTAGCATTCTCTTTGATTATGGGAAATTTGAAAGGTGTGTATCTTTCCACTCTGAAGATATCGGCAAAAGTTGAAAGTTGTCAACTGTAACCGGATTGGTGTCCTATTGCGTCACATGCTGTTTCGTTGTACAGTGTTATGATAATAGGTTAAAAGTCACATTTACACACATGCTTCGCAAATTATGTTCAAAAAATTATATTTGAGATATTTCAAATGTCTATTATTAATGGACATATTTTATAACATGAATGTTAAAAGAATAACATAGCATTTTGTGAACATACCAAGGTGGTAAAGTGGGTAGAGTTGATACACCCTTTATAGGTCACTATAAATTGCATGCATGAACAGATCAATCATAGAAAATGAAAAAGAGGCTGCATGTGTGTGTGTACTGGTATTACCTACGTTATGGGGACCAAATGTACAAGTATAGTAAAAACCAGTAAATTCTAACCTTATGGGAACATTTTTAGGTCCCCATGAGGAAACAAGCTTATATATCATACAGACTGATTGAAAATGTAAAAATACAGAAAGTTACGAGTGATGGGTAGGTTTAGGGGTAGGGTTATAGAATATACTGGTATGTAGGGGGATAAAATATACTGTCTGTACAGTAGAAAAACCACTACGCTTATGGAATGTCCCATAATGTTAGAAATACCTGTGTGTGTGTGTTATGCAACGTAGTCAGTGAGTGGACTTTATGTCTTTTTAGTTTACTGTTTACATTTGTACTGTTTGCCAAATCTTTTCCAGTGTTAAATATTTTGTTGCTATTTTGTTTAACTGAATCTGAATTAAATGAAGCGAATAAATAAATCTGAATTTAAAAAAATGCACAACTGTAATTTATCACATTTGCAATAAATGGTTAGCGAGCTTTAGAGCATTAAGAATGGGTGTCTCAACTGTACCATGGTACTGTTTCAACTGTACACTATATGGGTACAAGTTGAAACAAAAATGCACCTTATGTATATGAGCTAATTGTGGGAGGGAAAACTACTTATGGCTATTATCAATTTATGATATTTTAGTACATAAGCAAAATAAATATAATGTGAAAAATCACTTTCTTTCAGCATCTAGTTTTTGTGTAGTGATGAAAAAAGCAGAAAGTTTCTCTACTGTACTCTGCCAACCCTACTTGGTGTTACTATATGTCAGATGTGTTTTGTCCACAGAAATGCGTTATTCACTAAGTTACTGTAAAGTGACTTGACCGGCGGATGTTTTATTTTCAAAAATGATCAATCGATGATCAAATTTGCTGTCGATAATTTTCATTGTCAACTTTATCATTAAGTTGTTACACCCCTAGCGCATACGAATGTCATTAATTGGCATAAATATACATATCATACTCGATTTATTAAGTCATAAAGACTGTGCAATTATGGATCACACAAAAAGCGCAAGATTTTTTAATTCATCTGACTCATCGCATGCACCTTATCAGCAAAATTAACTTTTTTTAAATAAACTACTTTCTTGTCATTCTGACAAAGACTTTATGACTAGCTGCATCTGTAGCTGTCATTTGGCCTAAGCACGAGCGAGTCTATCAATCCTCATCAAACTGCAACTTCAGAATACTAATCACTTCATAAACCATGAAGCTAAACAGGTTAGCTGCGCCCAATCCCTCTACAAACCACACTAACACAATACATGCACGCAAATATTCAGAAAACCACGTAAGTATCGAATGGCCGACACTATCAACGCTAATCACAGCAGAAAGCTTTGCTGTTTAATGTTTGATTCATGACTACACTGTCATTAGCCAACAAGTGCTGCAGTTTGTGCTACTGCTTTAGCCGCATTTAAAGGCTCGATCCTCTCCAGTTTTGCTTTACTGTTTTCAATACAGCAATAACACAAAGCACCTCGGAAAGTTTTACCTTTGACTTTTCCAAACGTTCCCACTCCTAGTGTGTCTCCGAGAATATAATGTCCGATTTTCACCCTGCCTTCATGTTTCTGTTTGTCCGTCGCCATCTTCGCTCAGAGGCCCTACCTGAGAGAGGCAGCAGCAGCGGGACGGGGGCGAGAGCGGCGTCTCTACTGACAACTACCGGTACAGAAGAGCGCGCCAAAATAGCAAGCTCCAAACGATTGGATTAATGATTAATGCATTATAAGAAAATATTAACTAATTGTACCAACAAAATTAATGCAATAGATGAAATAAAAATAATAAAATAAAATTATAATTAATAATAATAATTTTATATGACAATGATAATAATGCTAATATTATTGTTATTATTATTATTAGCAGGAATGAGTGATTAACTGGCTAAATTTAAGCTTAGTTTGAGTCTAACCACAAGTGCTGTTTACTGGGGTACACTATTGGATGTCAAAAATGAAAACAATTAGAAAACAACAATTATAAAAGGTTAGTTTATTGTTATGAAAACATGAACTGAAAATAATTATTAGAGACATTTATGTTCTCTTGATGTTACACACACACAAAAAGCAAATTCAGCAAATTATGTTAAATTGATAAAAGTGATAAAGACATATATTGTTATATATCACAGGTTCCAAAAAATAAAATAAACAGCTGAACTGCTTCTATATGTATGTGTAAATAATGTGTATAGCTTGTATATATATATATATGTGTGTGTGTGACAATGACCAAACAAGAACAAAGCAAAGTTTCAACAAGTATAAATGTTTTAATGACAGGCATTAAAAAAGCAAAAAACATTCAGACATCAATTCTTTGATGAAGTTAATGATGGTAATAACTTGATGTGAGTTGATTCATTGACTTGGCAAGGACGATGATGAAGATAAGTATAGCGATGGAACCAATAACGATGGCAGCAATGTTTATGCGGCGAGCTCTGGCGCCATAAGACCGTGCCATTGGGAAGTCTCCAAGCAATCTGCTGTCCCTGGCCTGACAGACATAAAATATGATAAGCTTCAGGTATTTGTAAAGCAGCAGGACAGTTATATAATTGCATACATGTATATTGCTTACCTTTATTGAGTTGTAAAAGGCCCCAAACCCAAGACAGCAAGGGTTGCAGAAGTGAAGATTGAATGTGGAAAAAATTATATCATCATTGACGTTTTGGTCAGGCATGGACACTATTACTGGCTGGGCAGTGTAGACTCTATTGTCCTGCATAAGGATCCCCCCAGGTGCTGGGTAGTTCTGCATCGCCATATCAGTTCAATAGCAAGAAGTTGCTCTCAGTGATGTTTGCAAGTGTTCAGCTCTCTTTTATAGAGTCTAACTGGTGTGTACGTGTGCGTATTTTGCAATATTAAAGAACAATGGGCAGAGTTAAAGGGGTAGTACACTCAGAAACAATGTCTGAAAGTAGCTGAAAAAATCTCTGTGTATTTTTTATTTGTGTAACTTTTATTACTGTTTTCAACATAGACACACCAACAAACAGGTTTATACATGACACAAATAAAAAATTGAGTTAAAAAAAGCATTTACAGGAAACATAAAATGAATACCCATGGGTGGCTCCTGATGATACTAGTGCTGTCAAATCAATAAATCGCAATTAATCACATCCAAAATAAAAGTTTGTGTTTACATAATATATGTGTGTGTGCTGAATGTATATTTAAATACATACATATAAATTATATACAAATATGAATACATGTAAAAATTGCTTAAATATATACATGTATGGGTATGTATTTATATATACATATAAATATACACACACACATACTATGTAAACAAACACAAACTTTTATTTTGGATGTGATTAATCGCCATTAATCGATTTTGTTGTTGTTGTTTTTTTAGTCCAGTGGCTGAATATAGGACAGAACACATGTTGGGCTAACACATTGATTCTCAGAGTGGGTTAAAAACATAGCAAAGGCAAAAGCGTCTGAGTGCTTGAATGGTGGCTGGCTCTCTGTCTTTTATAAAGCGGCTAGTTCCACTGGGTTGTTTATTTAACCCAGCATCCCACCTCTCCCAGATGCTCCGGGAGTCTCTCGCAAATGGTTAGGGCGTAAAAGAACCGATGAACCGGTTAATTGAAACGAACTGTCCGAAAGAACCGGTTCGCGGAAAAGAACCGGACTTCCCATCACTAATGGATAGCTGATCTCTGGTGCTCACCGATTGTTCGTAATATCCAGGAAATTGAGTAAGCAAAAGAGAAGTGGCCTTACCGTTAAACCTGCAGGGTGGGATGTCTGCTAATAGTTTGATTTACCCATTCATTTTTACAATAATAATAGCTTATTTATTTATTAATTTTTTTAACCTCATACTTGAATTAGTACTTACAATTTAACCTAATCCTCTCTTTGTAAAATACATGAAACCACTAGTTTACATGATCTCTTAATTTTCATTACATCATATCTTTATTTTTGATGAGTAGCCTAGGCCTTAATACAAGATATTTTATACTGTTTTAAAATACAATATTGCCTACATTTAAACACGTTTAACAAACATTTTAGAAAAATTACACATTTAAAGGGGTGGTTGATTATAATTTTACTTTTATAACTTTAGTTAATGTGTAATGTTGCTGAGCATGAATAACGTCTGCAAAGTTACGACGCTGAAAGTTCAATGCAAAGGGAGATATTCTCTTTTAAAGAAATCGCTGTTTAAGGACTACCCCCCAAAAAAAGGCTGATAGGGACTTTAACGAGCTTCTTCTGTCACAAAGATTTACATAAACCCTGCCCCAGGAACACACAACAAAGGGGGCGAGGCCATGTTGGGCTGCTTTAGAGAAGAGGAAGAGTTGTACGTTAGTGTTGTTGCCATGCTGTCGAAACGCTTATAGTTATAAGTTATAGCTTATACTAATAGTATACATTATGTTATTTTCACCCCGATTGCAGGTCCACTTTGTTGGTTAAGATTACAAATGTTTAAAATGTATTTTTAACTTAGTTCCTGAAAATTATTTATAATACCATTATAGCTCTCTGTGCTGCACATTTTACGAAGGGCAGCTTCCTCAATCTACGCGGTACACTAGATTTTGTTAATAAGCAAACACTTCTTACTTTTACAAATTAAACAATTACTTTACAATAATGCTACAACACAATTATGTATTCTGCTGTAATAAAGCTTTAATCAGGATAAACCCGTATATCAAAAGCAAACAAACAGCAGTAGCAATTACAAATAACAGTATATCTAAAAGTATGAGAGAACTACAAACAAAAAACATACCATTCTGAAACATCCTGTAAAGACCTGTGCTTGCACAAGTTCTGCTCGATCCCCTTCCCTAATATTCTCTGGTTTGATTCAGGATCAAACTGATAAGGCAATATTGACACCATTGTTTACCATACACCGGAGTAGAGATGAAACGGTATGAAAAATTCTTATCACGATTATAGTGACCAAAATTATCATGGTTATCAGTATTATCATGGTATTGTTAAAATGTGCTGGAAATGTTCAAAAAGTTGACACATAAATCGTTTCACCAATATTTTATATTTAAAATCAACAAACGGCAAATAAAATTACGTTTTGTTTGCATAAACACTAAATCAATAACATTACCAATGATGTCCAGATTTAAAATGACAACATAACTGACAACAGTTTATCTAATAACGTTCAAATAAAGCTTTGAAAAAGTTTCATAAAATGCCAAACCTCACATTTCAGCCTTTAAACAAAAAAAATTGATAATTGATTAATAAATGATTAGATGTATTTTATCTGCTCCATAAATAATTCTAGATACTTTATCCGAATTGTTTAAATGTGGTGAATCCACAATTTATTTATTTTTTTTATCAACCGGTCAAATTTTACAGCAGGGCATGCAAATTCAATCCAATTTTTTGGACAGACAAAAACTGCACACAGGCTGGATGCAAGTGTAACTCTCTGTAAATCCACTCTCTCAGCAGGTGGCACTTATGGAACAGCAGAATTTTGAGCCGTTTCCCGTAACCTCCGTGGACAAAGCAGCATTGCGATTAAGAACACTACTTTATAGGTATTACATGGAGCGAAGATGAAAACAAAATGCCTTCGAATCTTTTCTGAAGGCAGTCAGAACCTTCAGAGGTACATTAATATAATTAATTCATTCATATATTCATTTGAATAATTCCCTTAGCACTCTTTTAAAACCTCCCAGCCTTCAGCCGTGTTTTCACACAAAAAGAGTTGTTCAAATCGCGGTAATCGAATACGGTTTTAATGACAATGAAAATATGAAACGGTAATACTAACCGTGGGGATTTTTATCATGATTTATCGTAAAACCGGTAATCGTTTCATCCCTACACCAGAGCACATGCAACTACCCGCAATGGCAAGGGGGCGTGACGTTTCCGGACAATGTGCACTAGGCAGTTAGCGATAGTGCTGCAACGGATCACAAAACTCACAGTTCGAATCATATTACAGATTTTGAGTCACGGATCGGATCATTTTTTGGATAAGCAAAAAAAAAAAAAATAAATAAAAAACATTAGTGAAAGCTTACTTTAAGTACTTCTATACCACAGCAAAACTACTAGCTTTAATAAAGTTAGTAATAAAACATGAACAATTACACAAATTACAAGCATAGATGAATACAACAAAACAGTTACAAACAAAGTCAGAAACAGTAGCATTGAGGTGCAGAAATGTAATAATTAAGTGTAAAATAACACAATAGTGCTCACTGCACAAGTTAAATACAGATTAATCTTTGTTAGGGCTGTGGTGTTATTTGATTAGCAGACAGAAACAGGTATTTATTGGCTGCTGTCTCTTTAAGACCAAATGCACGGACCTAATACTGACAGTTTTTTTTCTCAGCTGTTTACGCTCACTTAAGACATAACCGACGGTGTTTACTAGAATACTTGCCAAAACGGATATTTTAACATAACTTTGTGTGTATGTGAAAGGAATCAATTCGCTGTTCACGCGGTGTCTCTCTTTCTGCGTGTGCGCTTCGGGTGTGTGCGGCAGCGGCTGAGCGCACAGAAAACAGCGCGCGAGTTAAAATTGCTTGAATGTGTAAACTGGCAAGACAAAACATGTGCAAATGATAAACTTTAACTCTATGATGGTTAAACTTAAGTTAATCCGCAAATCACACGCGTGCCGAACCGTGCAGCCTGATCCGTACGGATCACGGTTAATCTACGATCCGTTGCACCCCTAGTTAGCGATCGGCCGAATCTGAGCCCAGCTACCAATCTGATCCCATTGCATATGTCTGAGGGAGGGGCTTCCTAGAACCAGGAACTCAACAGACCGTTTTGACGAGAACGGAAATGTTAGAATGAAGGTAAAATATGTGAAAAATAATGTGTTTTTTATAAAAACGAAGCATGAACACGTTACACTGCACCCCATAAACACAATCAAGCCTTCGAAAAAAGCTGATCAACAACCCCGTGTCCGTGTCCTACAAACCAGTGTGCGACACATTATTGCTCTCTCCTGCAGAAGTGTGTGAAAGAACTTATGTAATTGGTGACAGTGTTTAGAGTCAGACCATCTACAAAGAAAGCTCATTTAGATTTACATGCAGACGTACAATGTAGTTTGCAATATTTTATGATGAAAGTGGCCGCATATAATACTTACATTAAGTTAATAAAACAGTTTAAGATGAAGTGAAATCTATTAATGTGTAATTTGTAACTTGGAGTGTAGCCAGTAATTACAGGCAGTAATGCAGTTCAAGGTATAATCCAGAGAGGAAAGAAAGTATGTGGCAATACAACGCATAAAAAAATAAAAAAAGGGGACGAACATGACAATCAAAGAACAATAATGCTTAACCGGCTGAAAAGATTCCACCCACTAATATATTTTTAGCATAAAATTTTACTGATAATAAAATGATATGATATTGATTGTTATCATGGGACTGATTCTCATTTCCTTTTTTTAACCACACATGCCATGCAAGATTTTCATCCCTCTGTTCTGTGATGCAATTAGCACCATCTGCTAGTCCTGCATATAGTCAATCTTCAGCCTAATAATAAACACTTTTCTTTTTAATAACTATTCATATCCCAAACTGCTACAAACCAGTCTCATTTTAGATCATGCTATAAGATCTCTTGCTTTTCAGATTTTTCAGTCTGTGCAAGGCCTGTACTGTCTGAATTTTGAATTTTCATTTGCTGTCACTCCACTGCCTCAGTATGTCCTCTGCTGCTTGCAGGGTTGAGTCCTCCTATTAATGTTTACAAAAATATGAATTAAATAATATAAACAACATTTTAACAAGGTGAACAGATCACAATGGCAACCACTTTTCCTGATTTAGTATAATAATGTACTATTCACCACATAAAGCAAGACATATTACATAAAAAATGATCAGGGCTGTCAAAGTTTACGTGGAGTTTACTAAAAGTAAAGTAAAAAGAACTTGTAATGATGATAACTAAACTTAATAAAGAGTCTCCGAAGCATAAAATTCACAATGCAGTAATTTATGAAAAGCTAATATATTAAGCATACATAATGTTATTGATAAAAAAAAAATCTAACAACATTGACATCCCAAATAATTATAAAGAACTTAATTTTTAAAATGGTTAAAATGTTATGTTCTGCATAATTTTTTTTTGTGTGTGTGTTAAAAATACCTTTACAAAGCAGAATCGGATGTATTTCTGGAATTCGTCTTTGTGTTCCGGGCTGTAGAATGCAGACACGGGGATAGTGGCCAGTCCCTATTCAGAAGTGAAGAACTTTAACAACATATTTTGCTCACAGATGTCACTATATGAGAATACTTTATAACCCATCTGTAAATGCTATGTTTTAGTTTACCTTCTCTTTTATGAGCCATTTCACAAATCTGTAGTCATAGGGTTCATCTTTAGTACTAGGGTCAGTAAGGTCAACATCTTGTAGAAAAACATTTAAAAACAAAAAGCAATAAGAAGAACAAACTTTATTTTGAAATAATCATGTCAAAACAATGCTATCACAGCCTTTTTGTACTATGATTTCTCATATTATGAGGATTCCCCTATTCATGGAAAACCTGGAAATATCAGGGAATTTTAAACTTTTCCTGGAAATTAATAAAATCTTAAATTATAGAAATATTCTATTATAAATATATATTTATAATTCTATAAAAGATGTATATTTTTTTACTTTCCAGCTACAATATTTTACCAGCTAAAAATGGCTCTATAATATGATGTAAACCCTATAAAATTATTTTTAAAGTATCTTTATCCAATAAACATGGAAAAGGGTGTGGGAACAATAAGTGATGTTATGTATTACCATAAAAAGAGAGAACAATTAACAATCTCAAGAAGAGAATTTTCAGAACAAAAACATAAAAGCACCTCATCTCTGGAATTCTCAGATATAAAAATTGTATTTGTATAATCCATAAAGAAATCCGAGTTCCTGCTTTAATACTTTGTTCTACATTTTTTCACTGTTACTTACTAAGATTTGAGATATCTGCGATCATGAAGTATCCTCCCTGGGGTAGTACAGGTTTTAGGCCAACACTCTTCAGACAATCTGCCAGCCTCAGTCGCTTTTCATGAAGATGTATGGGTAACTGGTGGAAATAGCTTTCCTCTGATCCAAATACATAATATTCCCTCTGAAAACCTACTGCTACAGCCTCCTTAAGAACAACATTAGACAATGTCAGCCCACTGAAAACAAAATACACACACTTTACCCCTAAAACAAAGGAGCATTGTTTTACCTGGGCAGCTGTGGCACAGTGATACACTGAATTCTGATGGACGGTTTTTAAGTGCTTCAGGATATGCCCTGGTCCCATTGCCCAACCCACCTTCATTAAAATAATAGAGTAATTTAATGACCTGCATACTGAACCTTATCACCATGACACTTCCAGCCAGTCAAAGACATTAAGACAAACAGAGGAAAATAACAATGCAAGACACAAATCCTGTTCAATTTGACCAGCTCACCTTCCATCCTGTGGCACTGAAAGTCTTGCCTGCACTCCCAATGGTGACAGTGTGTTCCCACATACCTGGCAGACTGGCTGTCAAAAAAAAAAAAATTCTGTTGCTTTAAACGTCCACAAAATTGTGATTAATTGCATTACCTGCATAGTATTGCTCTTACCAATTTTCACATGTTTTGTTCCATCATATGTGAGCCACTCGTATACCTCATCGCTGATGCAAATGACGTCATGTTTAATACACAAGTCCGCAATCATCTGAAGTTCCTCCTGCTGATAGACCTGCAAGAAAGCACAGTTCAGGCTTAGGCTGAACATATTCGTCTCTGTAGTAAAAATCTCACCCACTGACCTGAAAGGTCATTCCAGCTCAGTGTCAGTTTGCATTTTTATATTAATTACATTTCCATTCAAAGATTTGGAGTCAGTAAGATTTATTTTTTAAAGAAATTAATACTTTTATTCAGCAAAGATGCATTAAATTGATAATTGAAAAGTGACAGTAAAGACATTTACAATGTTACAACAGATTTCTATTATAATAAATGCAGTTCTTTCACACTTTCTATTCATTAAATAATTCTGGAAAAAAAATGTATCATGGTTTCCATAAAAATATTAAGCAGAACAACGGTTTTCAACATTGATAATATTAAGAAATATTTCTTAAGCATATGGATCATAAGACACTGAAGACTGGAGTAATGCTGCTGAAAATTCAGCTTTGTCATCACAGGAATAAATTACTCAATATATTTAAAATAGAAAACAGTCATTTAAATTTAAATAATATTTCACAATATTACTGTTTTTACTATATTTTTGATCAAATAAATGCAGCTTTAGTGAGCATAAGAGACTTCTTTCATTAAACATTAAAGGGTGTGAGTCGTCAGAACAGCTGGCATTGTAGTCTACTCTACCAGGATCAGGAAACAGTCCTCCATAAAATGCGCTGCACACATCTGAATATTTGGGTTGAACTGTTCTGGAACAGTGTTGTAAATACAACTTAACCACTGATTTCTAGTCGTGTCCTCTTTTGGAAGACCAAACAAAGTAGTTTCGCTTTCACAACGAAACAACGAAACACACAGCGGGCTAGAGTGAGCCGTGGCCTAGAGTATTCTTTTATAAAGAATATCTCTTTGGATTTGAGACTTTAGTCTTTGCAACTTTACAGATCTTCTTTATGCACCAAGAGCTTGTAACACTTCAAAGAGAAAGGAAAAATTGAAATCGCATCATATGACCCCTTTAAAAAATTAAACTTTTGAACAGTAGTGCTTATAAAAATGATCCAAATATAAATCTTATGTAATGTGAAAAATAGCATTCTCATTACAGTAACACTGCCTGTCCAGACATATGTTGTTAATCTCTTATCTCTATCTATCTATATATTTCTATATTATTATATATAAATAATGTCATGACGAAAAAATGTAAATGGTATTTAAAAAGACCTAATTTCTTTGCAAAATGTAAGTTCTTATTTCATTCTTTTGATTTGGGGTGAAACATAACCCAGACATTTCTTGACAGTTTTCGTGAAATTCGCTCATAAAAGACTATATTGGACAACAGTACAACAAAAGGTAAAATTGTCCTCCATTTGTTGGTGACTGACTCACCTTGCCAAGAGGGTTATTAGGAGTGTTAATGACAATGGCTTTGGTACGAGGACTAAATTTACTCGCCAACTCTTCAGGAGACAACACCCAGTCAGCACTGGATAGAACAGGACCACAGCCTTCCCTCTGTCAATACACAGCTAATATTATTCAAAATAAACATTTTAATTTCAGATCAAGCAAACAGGTCTTGACACGTGATATATGAACATACTGGTTTAAGGGGCACATATATAGCTGTTCCGCCTGCCATCATTACCATTGGCTGATAACAGTCAAAGAATGGCTCCACAATAATCACCTGCGCTCAAAAAAAGGGAAAAATGGGCATTCTGATACCACGTATTGAACATAAGGAAACAGTGAGTGTCTTTTTTATCTTTTAACAATATAATTATCTGAATATGAATATTGTCTTTATAACAATAATGTTACCTCATCGCCCTCATCAATAAGAGCTTGGAAGGTGCAGAAAAGTGCTTGATATGCTCCTACAGAAACCAAGATATCCTCCATTGGGTCTATTTCCCGGCCAACAATCCTACTGAAGAATTTGGCCAGGATCTTCACAAGATTTGGGTGGCCCTGCATGTTGTAAGATTCTTTAGCAAAACTTTACTAATATAATTATTATATTATGCAGTGGTTGAACATTTACTAAACAGACAAACTGCAAGCGAACAAAGCACTTGTACTTGCACTTTTAATGTCTTACAAAAGCGCGTGTATACTGGTGCTTGGAGAAACCTCCATTCAGGGCTTTGCAGAAGGCCTCCTGAATGAAATGAGGAGGGGAGAAATCAGGGAAGCCCTGACCCAGGTTCACAGCCTTATAGTCAGCAGCCAGCTGACTGAATTCCACCCTACAGATGACATACAGAAAAGGAATAACATGCAGTTTTAAACATTAAAATGAGCAAACATTTGAGTTCATTTACTTGACTTGACAATATGTGGGAGGGAGTAATAAACTATTCTTCAGGTAGTTTTAGGTAGATTATTACACAGCTCACTGAACTACTAGAATAGCTAATTGGCGCCATCTTGAGACTTAAAACTGTTATTGCGACTACCGATTTTAAAAATGGAGGACAGTATTAATTTTAATATTTATGGCATGGAAGACATTCATAGATTACATTGGTGGCATAATAATAATAATAAAACTGAAAAAATATCGATTATACTAGGAAAACTATTGATCAATCAACGCGACGAAAATTGCGAAATATACCTTTTTAATATACCAAGATATTTTATTAAAAATGCATAATTAAACAAGTAGGTCTATATTTTGCAGTGCTCGTCTTGCTGCTTGACCGGATGTTTTCTAAGTTATAATGACTTTTTTAGCGGAAACTTAGGCATTCCAACATTTTAATAAAATAACTCAATATTTTATATCCATGTATTTACTTATTTGGCAAGTGTCGTGTAATAAGCCGGATGTACAGCACTAAATGGCTACCGTCTACCCATTTATACTTTCACTTCATTCATAGCCATGAAACTTAATTACCATATATTCTTGTCAATTCCTTCAATTCTTCTCGCGTGCAATTTACGCGACATATTGCCCTGCATAATCAAGAAAATCATGCAGTAAGATAAAATGATTGCATATTACTAAACCAGAGCTTGATCATGCATACATGAGTGTAGCGATCGAGTGTGAAATGTCTCATACCTTATCACGAAAACCTGCGTTTACTAATCCGATTGACAGCGAAGGTACATTTACCGCCGCTCTTTTCCACATGCCAGTGTTTCAGAAACGCCTTTAGTGCAGGATTTCTGCTCGTAAATCAGTAACACACACACACAGTACAATTAGAATCACGCCATATCTCTAGCATTTTAACTGTCAACCTTAAAAACGTGTACAGTCAATGATTCAGTGACATGACAGCAGTCTTGTCCTTGGGATTTAGATTCAAGTGAAAATCGAAGCATACTTTGTCGATTTCATACTGTATTATAAAAAACGAATACACAGAACTCCCTGTTTTGCACCAAACCTTGCTCATTTACTTTCCCCAGCCGTTAACGAAATCACACATTAACTTCTCAAGCGTCCTCCTGAATAAAACTGCGAGCAGACCTCCTCCTCCTCCAGGCAGCACTTTTGTAAGACTACTTCCGCTGTGGGCGGGGCCAGTGACTGCTAACAATAACATTGACAATATAGGCCAACAACATGTTGTAATTTGTAATGATAATTCTTATTGTACAACTTTAAATATACAGAACCGACAAAAGAGGCAGATCTTTTGTTTCCTAATCTAGCATTCTAATATACCTTGCCCTGTACAGTACACCATTAATATTGTTGGCTCTGTGACAAATTGCTTATGTGCCTCTATTGTAAGTCACATAAACGTAAATGTAGATAAATGTCCAAACTTGGCTTGACAGAATAATAAAAACACAAAATATGGACACAAATATGCTCTTTATAAAGTTGACATCTTAAAAGTGACAAAGACGACATTTCTTCACAATAATATTTTGTGAAAAAATATAATTTTTTTTAGTCTCTTTCAGTCCTAAACACAAGGTAAAGTCCTTTATCCCAAGAGCATTACCCTCAAATCCTCACTTCTTTTAATCCGTTCTGCCTATAAACTGGCCTTCTTGAGATCCTCAGGCAGTACACAACCCTTTTTCCTTGCCCTCTGTTTGCGTTTCTCCATCTTGGCATCCTTGCGTTTCTTAATATTTCTTCTCCGCTTGTCTTGCCTCTTTTGCATCTTCTCCACGACTTGCTGGCTCCTCTGTGCCCACTTCTTTTTTTTCTGAGCCTTCATTTTCTCCTTCTTCAATGATGCACACAAGAGCTCCTCATTGTCTTTGATTTTCATGCCTTCAGCTTTGTAGAGAACATTGGTCCACCTCATCTTCTCTTCCTCTTTTTTTGCTTTCCCTTCATCCTTCTCTTTAAGCTGCTCTAGGTGAGCTTTTCTTGCCTCAATGCGTGTTAAAAGCTGTTTGTAGTTCTTGCCAGTAAGCGGAGTCAGCGTTCCTTTCACTTTCCTTTTATTTTTCTGCATCAGCTTTGTTCCTTTGTCCACATAGTCTTCTCCAACCTCCATCTTGTTGAAGACTATGAAGCTCTGCTCCTTTTTGTCAGGCGTGGTCGATGTCGAGGTGGCTTGCAGTTGGGGCTTTGCTGTCTTCTTTGTCCTCTTCTCCTGCCTGCAAAGCTGCAGCATCTGCTAACTTTTTCATTCGAAACTCTTTCCTTTTCCTCTTTCGACGCTCCCTTTCTAGTTTTCGTTTCTCTCGTTTCTTCTTTACCTCCTCAGAGGAGGGATCTTTAGGAGGGCCCTGGAAAAAAACAAACATAAATGCTTGGCTTAAAACCTCTTAAAGGGATGATATAATACATTTCATTTTTTCTCATATAATACTTTTAATTTATTTTGTTTTTGCAGAAAAACTGTCACAATTTAGCTTTTTATAAGCAATGAACAATTTCTCTGACCCATACAATTAAACATGGCATTTTTAAAGGGATAGTTAATCATTTACTCAACCTCAAACTGTTTGAGTTTCAGTATTCTGTTGAACACAAAAAATATATTTTAAAGAATGAGGACAACCAAACAGTTGTTGGTAAACACTGACTTCCATAGTATAAAAAAAATTATTTGAAAGTCAATGGGGACCAGAAACTGTTCGGTTACCCACATTCTTCAAAATATCTTCCTTTGTGTTCAGCAGAATAACGAAACTCATACAGGTTGAGGGTGAGAAAATGATGACAGAATTTTCATTTTAGGGTGAACTATCCCTTGAAGTAAAGTGATTCAGCATATTAACATTAAAATATTTAACAATCCTTTGACCAAGATAACACTTTTAGCCAATTTTAATATTTTAGTCCAACTTGAGTATGTATGTACCTGTCCACGAGACTCCTCAATCTTCTGGTGAAGCCTCTGACGAAGAATGTCTACAGCATTAAATTCCTGTGATGCTTCACCTAACAGAAATTAATAGGTAAAAATGCAATAGCATTCAACAAGAATAAAGCATACTGGATGAACTACTAATCTCTCTTTACAAACTACTTTTTACCCTCAGGCTCCTTTTGTGTCTCTGAAATCCCATTCTGGACCGTTTTTCTCTGAACTGGAGGTGCTGCAGGCTGAGTGGTCTTTGGGACTGGTTTATTTCTGTTTATCTCCTTTTGTTTGTTCTTCTTTTTCTTCTGTGAAGGAGCACCATCATTTACCCCACTGCCTCGGAATGGAACTAAAAGGGGAATTAATAAAACTTTATTAATTACAGTTAAATAATGAAGTTATTTATTTGTAACTACTTACTCTGACAATACAAACTTTGAATGAATGAATAAACCCTGCAGGTGCCTGTTCAGTATTTACTTATTAATTAACATGCAATTGACAATCCAGAACTTTACCATAGGGTCTTTTCTTCGGCTCCTGGTTGTGAGACACGCTTACTTTACGGGTCAACTTCTCTAGGTAATCATACTTCGCAGCAAGGCTGGCCATTTTTCTATTATAAATAAATTAACAAATAAATTAATTAATACAGACATTTGATGCAGATATGTAACATGCCATCACTAAACAGCTCAAAACAACACATTGCTTACAATTTTAACAAAGTCAGAATGCTGTGAAACCTATGCAGTATTTTATGATATCAATAACAAATACGTCAATGAATGCATTTAATAAACGTATCATTATTCGTTTGACTTGTACGGTATATATACCTCGCTCAATCCAAACTGCTGTGATGTGGTAACCGTTTCATCAGCTGAGAATGGTGTAAAGTTTTTTTTTTACCTCCTTAGAAATTACAAACGTATTCAGATAAAAGCCTTGGAATGTGCACTAAATACAATAATCCTTATAACTTTACCAAATACAAATTCAGAAACATGCCCCACGTGTGTATGATCTTGCGCATGCGCAGGATGGTTCGAACTTCGGAATCCCCGGAAATGGTTACATTGAAAACATTCCCCCGAAAGCACAAGGCAGGTTATGCAGTCGACCTGACAGACAGTTGCTGTTCAGGTTACAACAATTTCAGCTAAGATATGAGCAGTTTCAGATTAATGCTGATGTTCTCTAATAGCACATCTAAGATCATTCGAGGCAGTGTAAGTTCATTTTAATTTTTCCGCCTCATAAAACAGTTTACCATTAAAATATATATATATTTTTAAATCAAAATGTTTGTTATCAAACACTCATTCTTGACAGCTAAAGTGTAGTTTATTTGTTCTTTTCCCAGACTCTCATCTCACCAAAGAGGACCCTATTTGTGACACGACAGGGTCTGTTCAGACGTCAGGATGCTCCAGTACTCCGGTGTAATTCAGTTTTGCTTGCTCACTTACTATATTCTTGATTATTGACTAAACTGACTACATTACCGTTTAAAACTTTGTGGTTTTAATAACTTTAATAAGTCTCTTATGCTCACCAGGACTGCATGTGTTTAATCAAAAAACGGTAAACTGTAATAATGTGGAATATTATAAAAAAAAAAAAAAATCTAACTTAATATGTATTTAATTTTAATGTAATTTGATCCTGTGATGGCAAAGCTGAATTTTCAGCTGTTAGATTTTTCAGCTGTCACTTTTCATCAATCTACTGCATCCTTGCTGAATAAAATTATTAATTTCTTTCTTTAATTATAATAATAAAATGCTAACCCAAAACTTTTGAATGGTAGTATAAAATAAAATAGGTTAACCGTTAGAGTGAGTTTCTAATAGACTAGACTTAAATATAGCTGAAATATATTCAGGCATTATGCTTGTGCAGTTTGTGATTTTAAAGTGTTCAGATATTTTTTCTATAGGTATCCTAACCAGGTTTGGTCAACGGTCAAGTTCCACTGTTGCGGGAACCGAGAAAGGAGAAGACTCCTTCCTGAAGTGGTTTCTCTTGTTGATACCTGCCACAACCTTTTGTCTTGGAACATGGCAGGTACAGGCAGGAGCTTGGTGTTTAAATTATAAAAAAACATAACTAAAACAGCAATTAGCTATTTGTGAAAAGCCTTCCATTTGATTTTGTAGTTGAAACGCAGAAAGTGGAAGTTGGAGCTGATCCGTGAACTTCAGAGCCTGACGACTAAAGAGCCTATCCCACTGCCCATAGAGTGAGTCTCTTTCGAAATCTATGTGCCATAATCGCTAGTGTTTATAAGATGAAATGGTGATGTAATCTGTGTGTGACACAGTCCTATGGAAATTAAGCAGCTGCAATACAGGCGAGTAAAGGTGCGTGGACACTTTGACCACTCTAAAGAGCTGTACGTCCTGCCCCGTTCCCCTGTGGACCCTGAGAGAGAGGCCCGGGAGGCAGGCAGGATTTCCTCCAGCGGGCAGAGTGGAGCTAATGTCATTACACCATTCTACTGTAGTGATCTGGGGTACAAACACACACAATTTGAATTTCACTTAATTACATACACTTGCTTTGCACTCTGATATGAGTGTGTAAAAACCTTCTGGACCAATTTTTTAGGATCACTATCTTGGTGAACAGAGGTTATGTACCAAAAGATAAGATCAGACCAGAAACCAGGATGAAGGGACAGGTAATACTGTCTTTCTTAAGCTCTTCTGAATCAAATCTAGGCATAAACATTATCAAAGGGTCTTGCTTAATTTTATCTTTGTGATTTTTGATATTCATTTTTGTTACATTTTCTTCATCTCTCTAAATGTTAAAGGGGTGTTTATATTTTCTAAAAGGTGATTGAGGATGTGGATCTTGTTGGTGTGGTGCGTTTAACCGAGCAGCGGAAACCATTCATCCCTCAAAACAATGTGGAGGCAAATAGGTGGCACTATCGTGACCTGGAGTCCATGGCGAAGGTCACTGGTGCTGAGGAAATCTTCATTGATGCTGTACTTGGTTAGAGCTGCACTTAATACTAATGTTTGGTGAATGTATGGTGTACAAACTTATAAAAAGTTTTGATCAGAAAAGTGGGTGAGTCTGTAAAAATCTTATTTTTTCATTCAGACAGCACAATACCTGGTGGGCCAATAGGAGGGCAGACAAGAGTGACCTTGAGGAATGAACACATGCAATATGTCATCACATGGTTTGTTTAATTACACACATTACTAATCTATTGTCATGCCTTAAAACATAATGTTTTTATTTAAATTCTGCATTTACTATTGAATTGAAAAAGAAAAAGTTTAAAAACCATTTAGGAACTATTTGATTGTAATCTTAAAGATGAGCATGAGGTGAACTATTCTTTGTTCTTTTTTTAGGTATGGATTGTGTGCAGCTACCTCCTACATGTGGTACGCTAAATTCATTAAGCGTATAGCTTTATGAAATATATTCAGCACTTTGCCCTTATGGAATATACGCTTTAGAATTATAAAGCACTTATGTTGAACTCAGTACTGTTAATAAAAACATGGATTTGTCTAAATTAGTTTGAGTGTTTGTGCATGTGTATTGCTTTAATGCATTACTTGGATGGATACAAAGCCTCTAGAGCAGTGGTTTTCAAGGGCCACAGGATGAATTAAGTGTTAAAAAATTAAATAAAATGCTAAAAGCAAAATTAAACTGAAATCATATATTCCTCTCAATATTTTAATAAACACACAGAAGAGGCCAAATCAGAATTTCATGTCTTAAAGCAACAAAATAAATGGTTTAAAAACCTCAACACTCTTAAGTTTTGTTCAAGTTTTAAAACATGTAGAAATACCACAGGAAGTATCTAAACCAATATGGGGGGGGCTTTCAAATATTGTGTTGGAAAAATGAGAGGGCTTTGAGTCAAAAAGTTTGGGAACCCCTGCTGATGGTTTCATTTAAATTTCATTAACTAATAGTTTCAAGTTTGGAGAACAGCCAACAGTCCCTCTTAAAGCAGTTTTAACTCTTATACAAATCTCTAAATGTTCAGAAATCAGTTTTCTAATTGCATGTATTTTCTTAAGCTTTAAAAGCAACAAACACACTGAAACGTAAAAAGAATCAAGTCAAACTTCAACCAGTTTTGTGGGAACATTTTTATTTATTAAACAAGACAGGAGCTCAGCCCAGTTTAGTAGCCAGCTCCTTGGCCTTTGCCTTCTCGATTTTAGCAATGCGAGCAGTTGACTTGTGACCCAGGACGTTGCCTCCCCAGTGACGACGGATCTGAAGAGGGAATGGAAGTGGGAGAAACAAATTGTTTGTTTGTTTAGGATTTAACGTCATGCGAGCTACCTCGGCTATATTCATTCACTATGGGTTAGTCTGGAATGTCCTATTCGACAGCTAGTGTAGACAATATGATCCCATCGATTTTCAAAGTGGGCACAACGTTTTACGAGAAACAAATTATAAAAAAAATTGAATTACATTTAGACATCATTTAGGAGACTGTAAACTAAATTAGCAAAGGCTAATTGAAACGCCATCAAATTGTAAAATGATAAATCAATAGTTTATTATCAGAACTGATAACTGACCTCCTCGTATCTGTCATTGTAGTTGGTCTTGATGGCCTCCACCAGTTTAGCAAGAGCTGCTTTGTCTTCGCTGAAGATGGGAGGAAAAAACTAATGTTAACCACAAAGGTCTTGTGTCCATGATGCCCAAATCATTAATCAACTGCAAATCATTTTGCTCAGGGTTAAAAAGCTCATTTGAAACCACATGGTTGTTCAGTTGAAGAAATTCAGACATCATAGCCATAGGAAGTGCAGCACAGGAAAGTGAAACATGAGTGTGTGTGTTACTCACGGGTTGGTCTGTGTGAAGGCAACAGAGGTGCAGGTCTTTCTGTGCACCAGTTTGCCCAGTCTGGCCTTGCCCTTGACGATGCAGTACGGGACTCCCATCTTACGGCACAGAGCAGGCAAGAACACCACCAGCTACAAAACAGAATTAAATCAAATCAATTATGCATCGACATCCATCCCCACATTCAGCAGTCTAACAAAACCACACAAATCAAAAGCCAAAACAACTCTGAAAAGAATCATTACAGAAATACTCCTGCGAGACATAAGTGGTTGTTGCTCAGGGTTAAAAAGCTTGTATTTTTGATCTTCAGTTTGAATTCAGGTGAAGAAATTCAAGACATCACTGCAGACAACCACAACATGATTTATGACTACATGTGTATATACTGTAGAAAAACTCACCTCAATGGGATCCACATCGTGAGCAATAACGACCAGCTGTGCCTTCTTGCTCTCCACTAGTGTGGTCACTGTGTTCACACCTGAGAATGAACAAAAGTGTTAAACAGATATTAAAGCCACATGATATACAAATATCGTCCTGGACAAAAGGTGGGCCTTAGAGTCAAAAAGGTTGAGAACAATGGAGAAGGCAACTCGTAACTCCAGGAAGAGTTGGACCTTTCAGTGTCTTCAAAGAAAAGACACTTTAAAAAGACCCACCTGCACGGAGGACTGGTGGCCTCTTAGTGGGCACGTCTCCCTTTCCAGCAGCCTTCTGTTCAGCACGAGCCAGCAGTCTCTGTTTCTTCTCCTGCTTGGTCTCGGGCCTGTACTTGTGGGCCAGCTTGAACAGCTGGGTAGCTACAGAAAGAATTTAAAGAGTTAACACTTTGGTGAAAACTTAGGTTATCGGTAATTTTACAGTACAGTTCAAGTTGATTTTAAACAGCAATAATGTGCAGTAATAAATATAACAGTGCATCAGTGATCTTGGTGGAAATTGTCAGCATTGACTTCAGATAGCAAATATTATTTCACATCATCTGCACATTCGCAAAAGTCTAAAATGCATTTAGAGGTCGACCAATATATTGTTTTCAATGATTGAGGCTTATATTTGCTTTGTGGAATTAAATGGCAAAACACAACTATTTAATTCCTCTGCGAGACATACAATAATATCATGGTTAAGTCATTATTGTTAATTTTCTAATTAATTACAGCACTATCTTACATCAAGCAACTTTTCGTTCATATTATTGACTTAAAACAATTGTCAATTGATTGGTTATTGATAAAATCCACTATCCGCCAACCTCTACAAGCATCGTTGTATGAACAACAGCAGAAAGATGTAGGAGACTCCAGTCAAGCAAATAACTCACCGGTCTGGCGGTCCAGAGCCTGGGTGAACTGGTTGATCGCAGGGGGAACCTTCAGACGCTTGTAGAGGATGGCCCGCTGGCGTTGCAGCCGGACGTAACGTGGCCATTTCACGAATCGGGTCAGATCCCGCTTCGGCTGGATGTCCTGACCTGAAGATTAAAGTGCATGACTTTCATTAGCATTAGGGTCAACAAACTGTCAGTTGCTTTCAAGACATATGTGCATCAGCGATCTTGGTGGAAGATTGTCTGCATTGCTGTTAAGATAGCAAATATTTATAACATCATCTGCACTTATTTGACAGCTACACTTTAAATGACTGACCTCATCTGTGGTCCAGTTGTTACTCACCAATGCCAAAGTTCTTGGGCCTCTTCTCAAACAGGGGATTCACGACTTTCTTGGCCTCATGCTTCTTGGCCACTGAAGGGGCTGGTGCCACCTTCTTCCCCTTAGCCTTTTTCCCCTTAGGCTGTGAAGAGAAGCACAATACTTGAGCTCATCATCCAAAATGAGCAGAAACTTCAAGAGAAATACCATTTTGTGGCTTTTGCTCAGTTTTAAAAAAATGAGTTCTACACAAAGTTCAGGTGAAGAAATTCAAGACATCACTGCAAAAACCAAAAAAAATAAAAAATACTAGTCAAAACACACCAACTTAAGATGTGACGTGTTGTAGCAACTTTACCACTTTAGCATCCAAGAGATACACGCGTACCCAACAACATTGCACATTCACTAATCATAATTAGCAGATTTTTAATTGACCAACAGGTGTATAGTGTAAAATACAGCAGCACTTGCGTATTTCATAAGCACCACTGGGCCGATCTGATTCATTTTTGGCCTACAAACCAATCCGCTAACAGGGTAGCATTCACGTTGGAGCCCACGGTTAAGGTTTCTCATAATAAACGTTATTAAAAACAGATCAACCGTCAGGGGAGTCCGTATTGAAACTAAGGATAATAACGTTTAACGGCTTACGGTCTAACGGCGCCACAACTCAAGGCGTCAGTGCTGACAGTAACCGATCACTACACAGCTCACAAAAGTTCTCACATTCTTCTTTTAAATCCTTAAAATGATCGCAATTTTCATTCAGAGAGCAAGCGTTGGTGCTTTATTTCCAATAACCGATATTTTATGAGTCGGAGAACACACTGCAAAACTGGATGCTAAAGGATTTTAAGAAAGTACCAGCTTCCCAGTCAAAACCATCGGACACTCACCATGTTGGTTCAGACGGAAAGGAAGAAGCAAAGGACTGTGGGAAATATAATTACCGCGATTACATCATCTGTACGCGACAGAACAAATGAGGGAGGCTTGTGTTTATTTGAAGAGATATTAAAAGAATGTTTGCAGCTGTGAGTAGCGAGTTTCATTGCTTTTAAGTTATAGCAACGACAAAGTTTTTTTTTTACCTAATTAATTATTCATGCGTGGTGTATGTTAACAGAAACCTGCACGCGCTGTTTAGTTTCACCATCTGAGAAAAAAAAACAAAATGTCGAATGTTGACGGCAAATGCATTGACTTGTGTTGTTTTTTTGCTTTTATGCGTTTCTTAAAATAGACATTTTCACAGATAGACAAGCATTAAAAAGCTGCGTCGCCATCACGAACTGCATTTGTGCAGTCAATGTAATTGACCTTATAAATATGCAAATAAAAACGGGGTTTACAAATGTGTAACAGTTTGTAAGCTGACTCCCTAGGATTAATTACTACTAACTACTATACACTTTAAAGTATCAACCAGTATTAAACCACTATTAATATATAGTGATAATTAATATTTTAATAATTTTAAGATAATAAATCTTTAAAAAAAACTGGCTGTAGTTATGTTGTGGAAATGTAACAATGGCTGTTTATTAAATGTATTTAGTAGCGGTTAGTGTGTGAACCAATTGCAATTCTAACAGTAATGTCGTGTTTCTGATCCTTTAGCACTGAGTCAAGTCTGACTGAAGAGCGCTGAGATGGCCACACAGAGAGTCCTCCCGCAAAGCAAAGAAACTCTTCTGCAGAACTACAACAAGAGACTTAAAGATGACATCAGGTCAATTCTAGACAATTTTACGGAAATAATCAAAACAGCAAAGGTATGTTGGTATGTATTTTGCTGTGTGACGTTCATATCAATATGATTTAGTTATGAGACATTGGGATGATAATCTGGTCATCTGATCTATCAGGTGGAAGAAGAGACTCAGGTTTCCCGAGCGACACAAGCTGAGCAGGACCACTATGAAATGCACGTGCGAGCTGCCAACATTGTAAGATCTACAGTGATAGTACGATAATAAATAGGCATATCAGACTTGGATGACATTTACATGTGTAATATGTCTTAGGTACGTGCAGGAGAGTCTCTCATGAAGCTTGTCTCAGACCTGAAGCAGTTCCTCATCCTGAATGACTTCCCTTCTGTCAACGAGGCCATCAGTCTCCGCAACCAGCAGCTGCGCACGCTGCAGGAAGAGTGCGACAAGAAGCTCATCTCCCTGCGTGATGAGATTGCCATTGACCTGTATGAGCTTGAGGAAGAGTATTACTCCTCCAG